GGGGGGGGGGGGAGGACTTGTAGGTTTATCTTCCCTCTTTCTTCTGCCCTGCCATTGTGCTGTGTCACAGGCACATCTCTGTGTGAGTGTGAGTGTGTGCGCGATGTGGGGCCCGGGGGGACAGGCGCACGCAGGCACGGTCCCGAGTTGCAGGCAGCATCCGAGGAGGAAGCGGCCGGGATCCGCGCGGCGAGGCCGGTACCCCGGGGAATCCCTCTCTCTCTCGCTGGACCAGGCTCCGGCGCTGCCTCCCTCCCTCCCCCCCTCCCTCCGCGGCTCCTGTCCGTCCCTGCCTCAGCCGCCCAGCGAGTGGGGAGGGGGTGTGGGTGGCGGTGAAGTTTCCCCATCTCTGTCGGAAGAAGGACTTTTTTTTTTTTTTTGCAAAACAAAGTTTCTCTCCCTCCTCCTCCTCCTCCCCGCTCCCTTTCTCCCCCTACCCCATGTTGATGTGGACTAGTCAAGACTCGTCTCTTAGGAAACTGCGACCTTAATCGTTGCTAAGAAGCAGGGGAGGGTTTTTTTTCTCCCCCCCCCCCGTCTCGATCAGCATATTTTTCTCTCTCGATGGCTAAGTGGGGGGTTGCATCGAGGATGCAGTTCCTCCTCCTCCTCCTCCTCCTTTGGGCTGGGTGGTTAATCATACACGAACCTGATATCCCTTCCTCTTCTCCCCCCCCCCCCTTTTTTTTCAAGGTAACAAATAATGAGTCTGCAAAGTCTCAGGGCTTGGAACCAGCCCAGGGTTTTCATCGGTGGACTTGCTAGACTTTTTTTTAGCAGGAGAGGGAAGCAGCAGTGCTGGCCATCCCTGCTCCACTTGAGCTTGCTAGTTGTGCAACAGTGTTCCTAAGGAGGAAAAGGGAAAAAGCAAAAAAACCCCTAGCACCCCCCCAAAACCCTCATCTTGTTGTTGGGCAGAGTCGGGTAGCTGCCGGGAGGAGAGCAGTTGGAAAGATGCTTAACTTTTGCAAGAGGGGAGGGCAGGGTGGTGGATTGAACTTTGGCATGTAGTTGATAAGTTTTTCCTCTGGCTCTCTCTCGCCCTCTTCTCTTTTTTTTTTTTTTCCTTCTTTTTTTAACCTCTTAGTTCCATTATCTTTCTTGAGCGCTCTGCCCTGCATCCTTGGGTTATAAAAGAGGAGGAGAGCATTTCTCCTTGCTCAGCACATTTGTCCTCCCCTGCTCCTTACTGGTTAGAAGATAGGACGCAAGCTCAGATCCGGATGAGCAGTTCACATTCCATTACGAAATTCAACACGGCTTCAGAGCCAGCAGCAGCCTTAGCAGCAGCACCAGAGCTTGCTCACATACATACTACACAGCTATGCGCTTCCCCTTCTCTTGTGGGGAGAAGGAGAATATTCCCTCTGCCCCCCAAAAAAGGTACAAGACAATCTTCGTTTGGGTGGTGGGGAGAGGTTCTTAGCTCCATGTATTTATTCTTCCCGCTGTTAAGATAGTTTAGGTTGGATTTGAATCATTCAGGAATATGGATGGAAAAAGTTTTTTGCTTCTGGGGTGGGTGATAACAGAAAGGAGCCAAGAGATGCTTTCGCCCTGGAAAAGAAGTCTCTTGAAGTGATTTCTGGAAATAACACCTGATTTAGATCTTTTACCATTGTTTCCCGTGTTTTTTAGATAAGATCAAGGAAGGGTTATATATTTCTGTTATTACACTAGTCAAGTATCTAGTTTAATGTGCTATAGAGAATAATCTTAACTCTTAAGGGTTCCCCCCAGTCTTTACACTTCAAACTCCAGATTCAGTTAGTCTTTTTTTTAATGAGAAAATTGCTTTTTTAACAACTTTAGCAGAAGTTGTCACAGATGCAGTTTACCCAGCCATCTCTGAAGTTTATGATTAAAACCTATTAGAAGGTTGAAATACTTTGTTGAGACCAACTGTTTTGAAGCACACAAAGTTAGATATCACAGTTCCCTTTTTCCATGCGTTTTTGTGTGTGTGCAAGGGGGATGCAGCCAGTGACTCATGGTCAGGCCAGCCATGTTTGTTTTAGGTTTTAATTTTCCCTTTGAAGACTTAGTGGTATATTCTTCTCTTGGTGTGTCTGCATAATGCCTATTAGCATTAACGGGAGTTACGTACATCCAGGGGAGAATAGAGCCTTTTGTGTGTTAGCAACCCAGAAGCAGCATGAACCCATCATCCAATCAATCAGGATAACACTCCTTTTTCAATATTCACGGGTGGACACACCTAACATTCTTCCTATAATGCAGATAGTCTGACTTTTTTTTTTTTACTTCATGCGGAGTCTGCATTCATATTTAGGACTTGGCTGGTATCTTGTAGTTCAAAGAAAATTGACATTTTAGGTGAAGTTTTGTAAACCCCCCTTTCAAATTAATTTGCATTGGAACCATTAGAATATTCTGATCTCACCTGTTTATCAATTGGTAATGCAGGTTATTTTTAACCATTTTCGGTACCCTTTAATTACTAGTCACCCCACACTTCTTTTTTTTTCATAGACTTTTTTTTATTCTTGCAAAATGTGCCTCCTGTGGTTTTGGTATTAAAGCAGACTGTAACACATGCAGATTCTAAAACCTGCCCTCTCCAGCCAAGTTATCTCTTTCTCCAAGGGTATGAAGTTTCATTTGTTAGCAGATTTCAGTGTAGTTGAGCGTCTCAGTCTGACTCAGATGGTACAGGTGGTGCATCCATTCTTAACTGTTTACATCATTCAGTGACCTTTTGATCATATGTTCTTTATTTTGGAAGTGAGGGTCAGTCTCTGGAGTTTCAGAATTGGGAAAGGTGAACGTTTGCATTGGGTGTTAATTGTCCTTTTCAGTGAAATCCTTTTAATATCTTCTGGCAAATGGAACATGCATACTTTCCATGGTGCTTTTGGTTTTACCTTTAGGATTTCATCACTTCTTTGGGTTAATAGCATACAGTGTTCACAACTGCACCCTTTTTCAGGTGGTTCAAGCTTCCTCTTAAATGGAAACAAAGCTTGGTTTGTCTTCGGTTGAAAGTCTTCTGAAATAATAACTGATCTTGTACTTGCATTATATAGATTAAAATATATAGACAAATCCCTTTGGTTATATTCATTATCCCTTGTAAAAGTAGGTGGTGCTTAGAAGGTCATAGGATAAGTGTTGCTAAGCAGCTAAACAGAAGGATGCTAAAATTAACCCAAGTGTATTTGTAAGGGATTCACTTTTTAAAGTTTTAGATACTTTTTTTTAATTTACTTAAAGTCACTATTTTCAGGTGTAAAAATTATATATTTTGGAGAACATGTTTAGGTACATGAGTAAAATTACTCACCTTAGTAACCCACTGGGTCTTTGGAGACATCTTTGTAGGAGTCAGTTTACTCACATGCCTAAACAGTTGCATGTTTGGGCCCCTGAAATGCGCCCTTTACAGATGTCCTTGAAGTTATCTGTTGTCCATTGCTCCATGAGCATCTGGTATATGTTGGATAGCAGCCTGTATGGACAAACTGGAAGAAATAAAAGCTGCAAAGATTCTACAGCCATAGGCAGAAACCAAATAGATTTTGTTGGTTCAATGAAGTTGTACATCCTGTTAGGCACAGAAAATCCTTTTTTTTTTTTTTTTTTTTTAATGTGTTCGTGGTTGATGATCACTTACTCTGCACCTGTATTTGATGTATATATTTAACAACTATGAAGTCACATAAAGTTTTTGTTTAGATGTTGGTAAAATTTTTAATGAAAAGACTGAGTTATGTTTGTTACTGGGCAGTATACAGACTAGTTTGTGGTATACTGGCTCAGCAGTATTAAGACAGTAAAGCTGCTGCTGCTGAAAATAGTGAGGATGCCTGTCTTTAACACTTGTTACTTTCACCACTTTTCTGAATTCAAACAAAATAGTTTGTTGTTTGCATTATCATAAATGTCTGTACTTTTATATATTTTCCCAGCACACCTTTCAGATGCATTTCATAGGAGCCATCTCAAGTTTAGAAAAGGGTCAGTGTCTGCTTTCACTGTGCTCTTTTAATATAACTTTAATTATGGCTGTAGTGTTCATATACCCTATAACTTTGCCAGAGAAGTGTCCTGGGAGATCACATATAGAATTTGGGGGAGGAGGAGGCATATTCTCTCAAAAGGAAACAATGGGAATAGTCAGTTTCTTATTGTTGGCTGGGAGATCTGATCTGTTAGGTTGATGCTGGAAATTAAAACGGACTCCTTTGAGACCTGTAAGGTGTATCTTTTCCATTTCTTATGTCTTAAGTCATTGTAGCTACTGGCTTAATACTTTGTGAATAAGAGAATTAAGATGTTATGGGTGAAAATATAGTTTAGGTTGAATAGAACTCGTATTTGCCCATCTTTCACTGTTGATGATGTATGGAAATGGGAAAAATAGAAATCTACACAGCTTTGCCCAGTCACGTTTCATTTTTAGTGTTTAATTACAAAAGAAAATAGGTGGGGTGAGCTGGGGTGGAAAGTGCTATAGTGTGGGTGGGATACAGTGGAATAAGATTTTCCCACCTTAAGGGATCCTTCAGCCTCACCCTGGCCAGCTATTTGTTTTGTGTATCAGCACTCCAGGCATCCTGACTTACGAGGGTGCAACATCCCGTCTCTGGAGAATTATTATTTTTTGTTGTTTTGTTGTGTTCTCACAAATAGCTAACTCATTTAGAGCTCATATAAGTATTGCTTTACTGAGAACTAAAAAGGCAGACCTTCACAAAGAGCCTCTGGGTTTGGGATCTTGTATCAATAGGAATGGTTTGCAAAGAAACTAGTTTGAAAGAAGGAAAGAATTGTGCAGGAGATTTCTGCTTCAGGGTAAACCACCGTACAGGTGGCACAACTCCTTTTGTAGCTGTAGGAGTTAAACTAGAATTATCCTGATGTAACAGCAGGGCAGAATCTGGACCTCTGTTTCCTCTAGCAACATGGAGGCATTCCGGTGTATCTTGTTTTTAATGGTATTTCAGCTTTCAAGTTGGGCAGCCTACCAGTCAATGAGGGTAGTTGCCTCTGAATAGGTGCTTTAGACAAAAGAAGTAGGTGACGGGTGGAGACTGTTTATTCAGTGTGATTCAAACAAGCAATGCCTCTGTAAAGTCCTAGAGACAGAGCGGCTGGATAACTTACCAGGGATTCACCTGGGGACAGACTTCCATTGGGGTGGTACAAACTGAGTGGAGAAAAGCTGTCAAAATTCATCCCCCCCCCCCCAAGCCATTGTTAGATCCGTCTACTAAAATTAGTTCCCCTGAGGGGACAAAGGGGCTGTCCTTGATTTTATTTTTACTGACTTCTTGATGTTTGCATAGCATGAGTTTTGTGTGGCAGAGTGCTGAGTTTAGAGCTTACATGTCACTACATTTCTTAGCTAACATCAGTGGATTGCATATGGTGTTTTTTCATCACTTTGGGTGTGAGGGAGATGTGAAACTCCGGTATCACTTTTGTTTTGCATGACCTCTATCAATCAGACTTGAGTTATTTCTAAATTTTTGTTAAAGAATATTTGTAGAATATTAAGTGACTTGGAAGTTTATGTTCCCTTCACTTTGAAAATGGATCTGCTAAGTTACTGAGCAGGGCCAGACACAGGCATAGACAAACCAGGTGGCCACCCGGGGCCTGGACAGAAAGGGAACCTGAAAATTAAACAATACACAACAAAAAAATAGTTATCTCTGGTGGTGGGGGCGACACTAAAAGTTTGCCCGAGGCTGCCAGGAGTCTTGGTATGTCACTATTCCTGAGGCACTTTGAAATGTTTGCTTTTGGTGGTCTAATCCTGTTCTTATGCTGATTATGAGTGACCTGCTAACATTATGTGAAACAGAGTTGTGGTATATTGCTATAACTGATGATTTGATGTGTCTGGTATATGCCCAGTTTTGTAAACTGTTATCTGCTTTTTTCCAGGTACTTTCACAAATGTTTTTGCTGCAGCTTGTTCTAAAACAAAAATCAGTTTTCACGGAAGGCTGCAAATGGATAGGCACCATCATTTTTTTTCTAAAAATGGATGATGAGAAAACTTTGACAGCCATTTTTAATGGCAGTTCATTGAGCCATTTAATTTTATTTTGCTTTTTAAAGATGAAAGGAAGCAAAGTATTACATCCTTAAAAATGCAGATGCCCTTCATTGTTTATCAGTGTATAGCTTGTTTCAGCATCTTTTTGTATTGCTTTGCCTTTGTATTGTGTGTGTGTGTGAGGTAGGTTGGTGTGTACAAATTTGAGATTTTTATATTATACAGCAGTGCATATGATTTGTTGTGTCGCGGCTGTAAACTTGCTCCATATGTACATTGGCATTTCCATACTTATTTTTAAACTTCCTATTTTATAGCTCAGCCAACTTGTTTTACATTAGTGCTAGCAAACAGG